TTCATACGCGGCGCGGCAATTTTTGCGAAAAAGAAAAGATGGCGCTCTGCTGCTCCTGCTGGCTGGCTGGCTGGCTGGAAGAGTGAAATGAAAGTGCGCGAGAGATTATTGAAAAGTGGACGCGGCGATGTCGCGACGGAAAAGTGGTCGAGCACTCGGTGGGCTGCTCGCTATACTCGCCGTGCTTCGCCGTGCTCGCCCCCACGGCGCTACACGGCCACACGGCCCCACGCCCTCGTCCGTACTCCTCCGGAGCCTGTCCCTCTCTCTCTCTCTCTCTCTCTCTCTCTCTCTCTCTCTCTCTCTCCTCTCTCTCTCTCTCTCTCTCTCTCTCTCTCTCTCTCTCTCTCTCTCCCTCTCTCCTTCCTCTCATTCGTAACAAGTCCGGTCCGCAGTGTTGCCACCCTTCCGGCCCCGCTGCCAGGTCTGCCAGGTCTGCCAGGTCGCGCCACCATCAAGCACTATACACCAGCAGCGTCGCTGAAAATGACTGTTTATTATTATTCAAACTCGCCATTAGCGAAACGGTCTGCGACCGCGTCTGCGACACGAAGGCGCGAAGGCCGCCCGTCCGCCAACTCGAGGAGGACGATTGGATCGTCCGGAAATGGGAGGAATTACGGAAAGAGAGGTGAAAACGGCGGCGTGACCTTTCGCGGCGCGGCGCGTGCTGGAGTTTTATTTTTAATTTGTTTTTTCGTTTCAAGCCGAGGCAAGGGGGTGCCGCAGCCGAGGCCGCGGCGCACAGTGGGCCAGAAGACCGGTGGAGGCGGACAAAACTCTAGACGCGTTTTGAGCTCCAGAGTCCCTAAACAGGACTCGAACCGAACGTGTGACCCCACCAATGGATTCCTCGTGCGGAGAGCAATCCATTGGTGGGGTCACACGTTCGGTCCGAGTCCTATTTAGCGACTCTGGAGCTCAAAACGCGTCCGGAGTTTTGGCCGCCTCCACCGGTCTTCTGGCCCACTGTGCGGCGATGGGGACCGGGGCAAGGCGGGGCGAATCTCTAGACGGCGGCGTCGTCGTCCCGTCCATTCGTCCCGTCCGCGGACAGTGCGGCGTTGTTCCCATGGCAACGCTGTGACCGCCGCGGCTCGGCGCAACGCGAAAAGCCCGTAGCATTTCTTCTCGGCGACGTGGGAGCCGGGAGCACGCCGTCGACGCTATCGCCGGCCGAAGGCCCCAGGCCCCGAAGGCGAACCGCCGGGCCAGGCCGCGCGGTGTGGGTGTGACCCGCGGCCCGCGACCTGCCCGTCGAACTGCAGCGCGCTGCGGGCTATCGGCCGCGGCCCCGGCGACGGCCGCGGCCTCGCCTGGCAGCCTCGGTCTCTCTCGCACCCAGCACACCGCCCTACAGTGCGACAGAGACGGCGCGACGAAACCGCCTCTTCAGAATCAGCATCGCGCTCCACTGATCCCCGCGCCGACCTCGCGACCCGCGACCCGTGCCGCCCGGCTCCGGCCCTAGTGCTTCTCTCTCTCTCGCACTCACGGGGCGTGCCGTATCGCCGTAGGGGTGCGAGAGAGACAGAGGACAGTGTGCCGTTGGGCCGCGCGCTCCGCCTGTTTGTCTAGTGTAGCGAGCCGCGGAGCACGGCGAAGCAACAAGGGTTCGGTCGGCTCGTGCGCGAAAAATCGAAAAATCGGGCCGACGTTGCGAGAAGCCCGAAGAAGGGTCACACCTCGGCGATTCGGCTCGCTTCGCAGCCCGCGGGGTCGTGGCCGAGGTCGTGGCCGTCGCGGGGGCCTGGCCGCCTGGCCGCCTGGCCGCCTCGCCTCTGGGGGGCTCGGCGGGGGCCTCGGCCGCGGCGGTCGGCGGACGGGACGCGCGAGGACCTCATAGAGGGCCATTTTATTTTGGGGTGGCGCTGGGGGAGGCGCCGGGAAAGCCCCAACCGTGAGTCGCATGGCGTTCATTTTCTATTTCCGATGCACGGCCCGGGCCCGGGCTCATCGAACCGTCCATCCTTGTTGCACGCCCCCGGGGCACCTGCGGGCGCGAGAGAGACGACAGCAGAGAGGCGGCCCGCGGCGGCGCGTCACAACCAATATTGTGTTTGAGAGAGCGCGCGGCGCCGCGTTTTGACTTTTGGCCGAAATAACTTTGGCACGCATGGCCGCGTGGCCGCACGGCAGCCCCACGTGGGGCCTCGCCGCCCCGCCGCCTGTCGGCCGGAATCACTCGCCAGGGGGCCCCGCTCGCTCTCGTCGCGCTGTCTCTCTCGCACCTGCACGCGACGCCCCGCGAGTGCGAGAGAGACAGAGCGATGCTCGGAATCGGCCCTCTGCTTCCCGTCCCGGACAGCTCGGTTTGTTTTGGAATGGCTGCGGGCGCCAACCCTTTCCACCCTTCCCCCTCCCCCGCGCCCCGCGGCCCTACCGTATTCACAGTTCCACTATTCGCACTATCGCTGCGTATAATGAAGTCGGGTTCGCGTCGCCGTATCCATCATCCGGCTGGAATCAAATGCCGCACAAAGGTCAAACGGCGCTAACGGTTCGCGGCTCTACATTCCCCCCAGCAGACTGAGAGTCGTTTTCGTCGCTCTGTCTCACTCACTCCTATGTGGGACGCCCCATGCGTGCGAGAGAGACAGGTTGCGAGGCGACTCTCGGTGTGAGTGTGCAGCGGCGGTGCACTGCGGCACGTCGCCGCCGTTGGAGCGGAGCTGGAGCGGAGCCGGGACGCGAGTCGCGGGTCGGCGCCGCCCCTGGAGGCCCTGGAGGGCCTCGCCTACACTGTGAAGACGACGTTGGCGGGGAACGGGGTCGGAGTGCCCCCCCGAGAAATACTGGAGGAATTCGTTTGTGAGGCCCAAACCGGCCGGCCGCGGCGTGGCATGGTGAAGCCTTGCTCGACTCGACTCGATCGAGTGCCTGGTGTGGGACCTCCGTCCGGCTGATGCGCACCGAGGCCCACGGCCCCCGGCAGCGCTCGCTTTCATCGCTCTGTCTCTCTCGCGCTCGCGGGGCGGCCCGTCTGGGTGCGAGAGAGACACACCCTCCGGAACCTAATGGTTCCGTCGGCGGGCGCAGGACGCGCAGGACGTCGGGCAGGGAAGGGCAGGTGGGCGTGCGGCTAGGGCGGGACATGCAGGATGCGATGCTCGGGACGGTGGAAAGATGAGCCGCGATACGCGTGTTGTGCTGGCCGCGCCGGAGAGGCCGTGCCGGCCAGAGGCTGCCAGGCCTGCCAGGCCGCGCACCGGAGCGTGGCGGGCGGGGCGTGGCGGCGAAGCGTGGCCGGAGCCGTCATGGGTCACACGGACGGCCGCGGGCCGGGCCGCGCGCTGGCGGCGCGGTGATGGCGCTGCGCGGCGGACCGAGCGAGCCGAGGGGTGGATTGGGGGATGATGGGAAATGAATCGAAGCGGCAACGCAGTGGCGACGCCGCGACGCGGAGGCAAATTTAGCTGCAGGGGGAGAGCGAGGGTGGGCGGTGACCCTTCCTCGCCGCGGTGCGGTGCGTCGCGGTGCCGCTGCCGTTTTCGCCAGCTGCCTCGCTGCACTCTACACGCTCGGCGGGGCGGAGGATGTCGGGGGCATGCTGCATGAGGAGCAGGAGCTGGTTGCGGGTCACAGGACATCGCCCCAGCGCCAGGCCAGCCAGGCCCCGCCGCTTTCCCGGGCTCTCCTCTCTTCGCTCTCCTTCCTTTCCTGGAGCTAAGCCCGGCTCTCCGCGCTCCGCCTCGCTCTCGGTCGCTGCGGAGGCGGGCGAGCACGGACGAGCGGCAAAACAGAAAACAGCTCTCCGGCGGCGCGGCGGAGGTGGAGTGTCTCAGCAAACGGAGACCGGCGCCAAACGGAGCGCACCCCCAGAACGCCTTGAGCGGCCTCAAGCAGCCTCAAGGCGAACCAATCCGAGAAGTTGTTGTTGGCGCCACCAGCCGGCAGCGGCTACAGCGCTGCAGGCAGCTGGGAGCATTCACCCGATCAAATTCGCCCTGGCCGCAAATCCAGGCACCCAGCCCGCTGGGGGAAGGGCGGGCCGCAGACTGATTCCGAGCCGTGCCCTCGCCTCGCCGCTGTCTCCCCCGCACTCGAGGGCGTTGCGAAGGGGTGTGAGAGAGACCGAGCGGAGTTCGCAATCCGTCTGCTGCTGGCTGCCTGCGGTCGCTGGCGGGCACGGCAAGGCACGGCACGGCACGGCCCCGGGTTAGGGCTGGGTGTTGGATTCGGATTGTCGCTGGCGAACGGGAAATGGATAATACGCCTCGGGGGCGGACTCAGCTCCATTCCCAACAGAGCCCTCGTCGCTCTGCCTCCCTCGCACACGCGAGGCGCTCCGTCGCGGTGCGAGAGAGACTCAGCGACGAAGTACCGCTCGGAATCAATCAAACTGCTGAGTTTCCGCGAGCTGTCGAAATGGCCGCGTGCCTTCCGGGGGGGCTTTGGAGCGATCGCTACTCCGCGCGACAGCGACTCTCAATGTTGACTTCACGGACGAACTCTCAGTTCTGTTCGGCGTCTAGTGACTCGCTGCGCCTGAATAGTAGGCAGCGGCCGCTGTGGCGAGAAGTTGCCCACCACCGTAGTGGGCAGGATGCGATGAGCCCCGTCGAAACAAACCGGTGTGTTTTGGTTAGGGCCCTTTTGCCAACTTTTCGGGGAACACTGCGCCTGGGCATTAGGCAGTCCTTCCGCCAGCAGTCTTCCCCCTCGACCACTCGTCTCATTTTCTTTGATGTCGTTTATTTGTGTTGTTTCGTCAGCCCCGCGTCCGTCATATCTATTTTTGTGAGTGGCCTGTCGAGGGTAGATACGTTTTCCGATCACATTTTGCTTAAATTCCACAGACAGCGTTTAACGGCCTCGGGAAAAATAAAAGCGGAAAATGAAAAAAAGGGAAATAGGAACCGGAAGAGGACAGTCGTGCGTGCAGCGCTGATACTCCGCTGCTCTGAGGCGCTGGGTAGCGCCGTGAGATGCTGAGATACACCACTCGCTAAGAGACTCTGAGTTGTTGACATGTTTTCGCTTATCAGCTGTTGACTAGGGAGGGGGGACTCTGCGGACTCGCCTGACGCAGACGACAAGGACAACCCAACCGGCCCTACAAATTTCTTCAATTGGACGCGAATGAACGGGATCGTCCAGTTGACAACATGGCGTCGGCGGTGGCTCTGTTCAATGCGTCCCTCCTGAGCAACGTGAAAGTGCGCTTCGGGCTAAATGGCATCTTTAAAGGGGCGACGAGATGTATCCTTGGAAATGTAGAGGTTATCTGACTCGGTAAATAGGAAATTTCCATTCAGAACTTTCCGAATTTCGACATGTTCCCCTCGAGACTTTTCTTTCATTTTAGTACAATAAATAAAATGTTCAAATTTCTTGTTGGAAAGTCATTTATCTGTTACCTTGAAAATGTGTTTTCAAAATTATTAAGTGCCCTTGCACATCAATGTATTGCACAACACTTGTGTACTTTTGTTTAATTTCTTAACATTCTGATAAGGTTTTGCATCGGCCGGTAAATCTAAGGGTCTGTATGAGTGATCTTACGAATAATGTTTTCTATGAAATTAGAATTTAATGGCACAGCACAGTGGCTGTTAAATTTTTATTAATGAAATTTTCAGGTCCGAAGTTTGACTGGGAAGATCCAGTGAACATTGAGTCACAACTTACAGAGGAGGAAATTATTGTACGGGACCAATGCCGATCCTACTGTCAAGAAAAATTAATGCCCCGTGTACTTGAGGCAAACCGAAATGAAAGTAAGTAAATGTGACTTTATATGTGTACAGTAATGCATCAAGATGATCACATTTGGATTTTTTTCAGCCTACGACAAACAGATTATGAGAGAAATGGGATCTATGGGATTGTTGGGTTCAACTATACAAGGATATGGATGTGCTGGAGTATCTTCTGTAGCTTATGGTCTTCTAGCACGAGAAGTTGAGAGAGTTGATAGTGCCTATCGCTCAACTATGAGTGTTCAGTCATCGCTTGTGATGGGTCCAATTTACCATTATGGATCTGAAGAACAGAAGGATAAGTTCCTTCCTGGAATGGGTATGATTTTTATGTATAATATGCTGACAGTTTCTGTTTAATTCAGGCCACCTATTTGAATTTTGTTTTGCAATTCTTAATTTTTTTTTGTTTTACTTTTCAGCCAAAGGTGAAATTATTGGATGTTTTGGTTTGACCGAGCCTAACCATGGCAGTGATATTGGAAAAATGGAAACAAAGGCCACCTATAACAAGGAAAAGAAAACGTACACACTAACGGGTAGCAAGACATGGATATCTAATTCCCCGATAGCAGATGTAGTCCTTGTTTGGGCTAAAACAGAAAATGGAAAAGTTCGAGGATTTTTAATAGAGCGCAACAATGCTAAAAACCTCAGCACACCAAAGATCGAGGGAAAGTTCTCTTTGAGAGCATCGCCCACTGGAATGATTCTCATGGATGGTGTAGAAATTCCTGAAGAGAACATGCTTCCTGGTGCCGAAGGAATGGGTGTATGTAGTATTATTGTAGAACAATAATATTTGTTCCTATCTGATTCTAAAATATTGTTCATGCAATAATTACTTTGCAGGCACCGTTTTCATGCCTCAACAATGCTCGCTTTGGAATCAGCTGGGGTGTCCTGGGTGCTGCTGAATTTTGTCTAAAGACAGCCCGACAATATACTCTTGATAGACAGCAGTTTGGTCGACCGCTAGCTGCTACTCAATTAATGCAGAAAAAGATGGCAGACATGTTAACTGAAATAACCCTTGGTCTCACAACATGTTTACACCTGGGGCGTTTGAAGGATAAGGGACAGTAAGTATACACTTGGAGTGATTTTAATTTTTTTTTTTTTTTGTCTTGTCAAATCACCAAATCTTTTATGAAAATCAGGTTGTCTCCGGAAATGATTTCTATCGTCAAACGAAACAACTGTGGCAAATCATTGGAAATAGCCCGAGTTGCCCGTGATATGCTTGGAGGAAACGGTATTTCAGATGAGTACCACATTATCAGGCACTCTATGAATTTAGAAGCTGTGAACACATATGAAGGTAAATGACATTCATTATATTGATGGCTTTATTTATAATTTTGTGTGGTGTTTGTCTTTACATGAATGAATCCTTTTTTACCCAGGGACTCACGATGTTCATGCCCTCATTTTGGGCCGTGCAATAACAGGCATTCAAGCCTTTTAATTACTCATAAGACAAAACAACTAAGACAATTAATGTGCTGCAATTTTAAGATCAATGCCACTTTTACTGCATTCCAATCAGATGTAATGTGACACTGATATTTTGTTATAAGAAATTTATAGATTTTTAATCTTTGTTTCATTTTGTAAAATTTATTAACTCAAAGACGCTTTAAACTTATGCGGGTAAACTGATATTGTATCTGTCTTTGTATCTATCTGTTTATATCATTGTGAAAGTGGTCTTAATAAAATTGGCTATATGTTTGATGCCATGTACATTTAATGAGAGAAAAACAAAACAATAAAATAATACAATCTTTCTGTAAAGACAGTGAGCTGTTTTCACAGAAACAGCTTGCAAATGCTAAGAGAGGTGTCATCATGCGAATGCTTCTTAAAGAGTCACTACACAAACGACCCCAGTCTTTGCATTCACCTTGCTTAACAGACATTAGTTATGTCATGACTTTCTGACTGCCAAAGGAAAATACTAGAGGCAAGGGCATTCTTCATTACTCACTTGGATGTGGCTTCTGAATCCAAAGAAAATATGACTTCCAATAATGAAAATGTGAACAAAGTAATTACAGGAACTTATGTACCAGACAATGAATGGTATGATGAGGCAGCAAGTTAAGTTTCTTTGCACTATATGCATTGTAGAAAAAAATAAATTAATTAAACAGCATAAGGCACAATAGGCAGATGCTTTAGGCAAACGATTCCCAGTTTGCACGAGCAATAAACCATATCTGGTTGTGTTCACTTACAAATTATGAGATTCTGCAAATAATATGAAAAAAAAATTTAAATCACATGATAAGACTGGGTGGTTACAAAATCAACAGCCCTTGCACAAGAGCGTTACACTTTTAATGCTGTTGGTAATCCAAAAGATAGATGGCACAGTCAAGTAACATTGAGGATAAAGTATCAATCAAGGGCTTGAATTTAAAAACAAAAAACGGACAATCGATTTTTGAGTATGGCCTAAGATTTCTATCTTCCAATGAAACATCACATTAAAATAAAGATGATAATCATTGCCTTGTCACTCAAATATTTATGCGAGAAAATTGTACCCGGCTTTGTGGTAAAACATATTACACCATAAGAACATGAAATCTCAATTTATAGTAGATACACAACCTAAAATTAAAAGCCTCCTAGTTTGATCCAATAATCAAACCTGTGAGTTGGCTAATAGCGTCCTACTTTCACACATCAAAATAGTATCAATTCTACATGCAATTTACAGCATAAATCATTGGTTCATCATCACAAATTTTATGTTCTACAGTTAGTTAAAGCTCAACCCATATCGAAGTTTACAAAAAGGAACATTTAATAGATACGATGGTTTCTTGTCTTGAAATATTAAAACTTTTTGTCCACAAAAATAAAGCTAAAGTAACAACAGTCAAGTGTTTGACTTCTAAAAGAACAACTACGTATGAAATAATACAAGTTAAGTTAGGAGTGTACAAACTAAATATCTTCACACATCAAAATCACAGAGGCTATTTCTTTTAAGTAACAGAAGTTAACTAAATAGCAGACTTTTTACACTATCACATGCAAAAAGGCTGATTTTCAGAGACACATTAGCTTCCATGATAAAGAAACATAGTAAAAGAAAGCACTAAAATAGCATCTGTTATAAGGTAAGACACACTACCTTCAGTTCACACAACTAATGCACTCACAAACTAGCAAACTTCTCCACAAGTTAGAAATATTTCTAGATATTTAATTTCCTTCATGGTTTAAGCTTTGTTACTTAAACTAAGCAAACCAAGAAGTAAGTACTGTGGATCTCTTCCCACAAATTTACACCCGGTAACATACAGAAAAATATTACATCTTATTCAACACATCATGACAGGGCGTATTCCATACATTCGTATTTCTCCATGTCTTGTTGAAATATTTGAGAGCGTGACTCGGAGAGCACTTTCAAAAGAGAACTTTTGCTCGAGAAACTTCTATTTCACCAAAGAGATGAAAGTGAAGTCTGTACAAATTGTAAGTCAGCATTTATAACTTAAGATATTAACAAGTATTGCACAAATATTGCACAACCACTTCATATAAATTATGACACAAAACAGTTGTCTCCTGACATGATAAATCAGATCAGACACACCAGAACCTTTTCTTTAGGTTTCTTAAAGTCATAGCACAAACATCTAGGATTAAATAGGATAATTTAGAAAATATATGATAAATGTCAGTTACTGTCACTTAGCTCTAAAACCCTGGTTTTTCCTCACAGCTGATGGAGGGGAATTTATTTAAATGTTATTTTTGAGATCAATTGTGTATGGTATTTGCACTCAATTTATGTATGAGTGAAGAGTGAGATATAAATATGAACATATAACACTTAAAGAGTTTAAATTGAAATTTACTATTTACAAAGTTGAAAAGAATCCTAATCATGTTACAAGAGATGAAACAGCAAATGACTCAAATGGGAAAGAAAAAATAGACAAAAATCTCATGCAGATCTCATTGCTTTGTGACCACTTCTAAGTTTCACTTCGTAAACCAGTCTCAAATAATAAAATTTCAGTTCCTTCATTGAAAACTTTTAACCAGAGCGTGATTTTACTCAGCCAATTAAAGTTGGGCACGGTTGTATCTATAGGTATTGATTTAATAGAATGGTTCACTCATTTGTCTGAACAAAACGGCTTGAGCTGTGCTCATATCCTGCTTGGCTGGTTGTGTTGTCCTACCTGACTTCATAATGATTGAAATATGCTACAGAAATCTCTCCGTAGTTTTAACCATAAGAAATTTATCATAAAATTTCAAACTCTTCACATTCCAAATCATTGTCGCTGTCAAACCCAACAATATTATCATCATCCGGAATATTCAGTCTAGGTACATGGACAGTGTCACGGCTACGTCCATCACTGAACACAAACATTGGATACTCAGATTTCTGGTTGGGAGCTACAAGACACTGCAAAATAAGAACAAAGTAAAGTAAGTCACAAGATCTTCCACAACAATGAGACAAATTAGTTATTTAAGAGTAACAGCATACCTTTTTCACATCTTTCACAAAGAATTCTAAATCTTCTCTTGTCCTGCAGTAAAAGCCAATGGAACAAGAAGGATCCATCTTGGATAAGTTCATTTTACGAGGAGAACGACAATGAAATGAGGAAAGAGGAAAATTTGGCTGCCACACATCAACTCGTTCTTGACAGTAGTGAGGATCTAAGTGAATGAGCTTGTCTTCTAAAATAAGTTTGAAGAGAGAAAAAAACTTTAGAAATTAGACTCTTTATGATAGAAGAAGAAGAAAAGGCAAAAACTAAAACATACCCTGAAAGCCAACAAAATAAAGAGAGTGTCTTGGTCTTCCACCAATAATTCCAATGCAATGCTTCAGTGTCAACAATGATGTGAGACAAGGAGCATAAATTGCATTCACTTTTTCCCCACCCAATCGTACTGGTACCAATATAATGACCGACTTCCAATTCTTGGATGAATGCTGTCCTCTCCCGTCACTGCTACTTTGTTCACATTCATCTATCACATCCTGGAGGTAGACTGTGAAACCAAAGAAAACTCATATTAATATCCGTGAAGAGTGAAAAACATAAAGAAAAGAGAATGCTTTAATTACACACCTGCGCAGTCTTGTGCTACATAGACACACAACCTTTCAAACTCATCATTTTCTTCAGCTGCTGCCTTCACTGCCATCCTTTACACGACAAAGGAAAAATAGAAATTAACTAAGGCTATTTCTCATTCTAAGAACATTAACTGACAAAGCTACACCCAAAGCCATACGTACCTTAACAAATGTGCCACAGAGCCTGGTCCATACCAGTCACCTGCCTTCTTTCCTGAATCTTCTCCAAGCCGTACTAGGGTATGAATCGAAAATGGGCTCACTGGCTTGGGAGTGTCAGCAAACCATTTAATGATTGCTCTATGTATTTTTTCCCTCCGAAACATATCACCAGAGTCGCAGGGATCTTCTGGGCGCCATCGCCAGTCTGAAACGAAAACATGAGGGGTCACTTGAATTCATGATGATGAAGCATGTAAGTTTACAAGCCTAGGTATTTGAGAACTTACCTCGACCAAGGAAATGGCAAACAAGAGCTTGAGCCAGGAGCATCTGTCCACTACGCAACATGCAGCCCCAGCCACAATCAGATGTAAAATTTGATCCATTTAAAATAGGGAACTCTCGACGATATGTGAGCCACAAACGACTTTGGAAATCCAATCGAAAACCTTCCATACCCTCCCAGTCCATAACAGTAAGCATATCTTCACTACATGCAATAGCTGTAGTATCATCTAAAGGATCGTCAAGCTTCCGATGATAACATCGTCCTAAAAGCCACACAGGGTAATCCTTGGAGAAATTTGTCTTTACTTTCACGGTCCATCCTTCAAAACAAATAATTTTAAAATCAAACAATTGCGATTGTGAAAAACAAAACAGCACGATTCATGGGATGAATCATAGCAAAATGGTGACCACTACACTTACCATACTTCATGTTATTCCACATAGACATAAGTTTTGTCTTGACTTTCCCATCGCTTTCATGTTCCTCAGCACTTGTTGTAGGACTCCGCCCATTCTGATTTTGAGCCTGACTTTGGCTTTGCCCAAGGTTGTTGGCTAACTTCCTTACACCGGACAGGAGACCGGGTTTAAAACTAGCAATAGCTTCAGCATTCATTCTCTTTTGAGAGAGAATAAATGCATCCTAACAGAGACGACAAGAATTACTCAATCAACAGAGTTTTTGTTCGACTTGGGTCACCAGATCAGAAGACCTAGACCTAGTTTCTTGGTAGTTCATTGTACATCATGTCATGGTATTCAACGAGTGGCGCCAAAATACTAAGTTCCGACGAGAGAAATGGTGTTCAGTAAAGTTAACCACACTTTTCTTGATCGTATGGCGAAGTACGTCTCCAGCCTCGTTTTGTAAAGTGCGATTATTGCAATTCTCTTGACGGATATAAGTTAGTTGTGTTGACATCGACACAATATCACAGCTGTTTTCTTCCTTCTTCCTCCTTTTTTTTCCTGTTATGGCGTCTGCGCTAGGACGTCATGAAGTCAGTAGGTCACTCTCATCACCTCAAAATCAGATCATTACGGCAGCAAACCATCATGGAAGGCCACAATCGTCTCGTCAGTCCATCGACGGTAGGCCGGCCTCGTTAATTCTAGATAAAATAGTTGTTCAAGTCACATGATTGGGATGATCTTGCTTGTTATTATGTTTCCACTTTTCAGAGCTTTCTGCTGGTCCTGTGCTCAGTGCAACGCGAGTAAAAAGAACACAAAGCAGAAGCAGAGACAAGCGAATCGTCTGCAGTGTGGAAGGCGGTGCTGAAGTGACTGGACAATCAGCGTCGGCCGAACCTCTTTCGCCACTTTTATTTGTGATATTTCTGTCCATATTTATTGTTTCCTGGGAGAACTTAATTGTAATTTCAAAGAAGTGATCTCTTATTAGATCGAAAATGCCTCTGGAAAATTTGGAGGAACAGGGCCTTGAGAAGAATCCTAACTTGGAATACGCTCAATGGAAGTTTCTGCTTAGCCTCAATGAACACAAAAATGATACAACTTTGCAAAACCGGCTGCTTGATGCCATCAAACAAGATAGTAAGTACCTCTATTTCGTCAATCAATTAATTTTTTAACTTAGTTGCCACGTTCCTTCGCGACGGTATCGTATTTCCTGCTGGACCTGTCAATGTTGACATTTGGCACGACCTGGTGCCTTTGTGTTTCGCCGAATCTAATTTATTATGTCTGGGCTGAATTGAAATCTTGCACATTTTTTTCAACAATGAGGAATTGGCTTCTGTTCAGTCTCGTCGCTCCTGTTTTTTAAAATTTCGTTTACTTTTCGTGTATTAGAATCCGCTTGTCATCTGCCTCTCCTAACCTACTTTTGAGATATTGTCATAACGAATCATTTTTCTCTTTTTAGGCATGGCTTCATTTTACGAGGAAGTATGCCGTGATTTAAACTGGCCTCTAGACCAAAAGCTGTTATCAGAGATGAAATCAGCTAATGAAGAAAAGTTAAAGCAGCTTGAGGAAACGATTGAGGATGCTGAGAAGAACCTTGGAGAGATGGAAGTTCGTGAAGCCAACCTCAAGAAATCTGAATTTTTGTGTAGGATTGGTGATAAGGTGTGTTTCAAAGGCAACTTACACCTAAAACAAAACATGCTATAAAGTAGTTTTGAAGTATATATAACTATTAACATCAAAATTCTTTGTTATAGGAAGGTGCTATCTCAGCATTCAGGAAAACCTATGAAAAAACTGTATCCCTTGGACATCGGCTGGATATTGTGTTTCACAATCTTCGTATAGGTCTTTTCTACTTGGATCATGACTTAATTACTAGGAATATTGAAAAGGCCAAGAGGTAATTTCTATGTCTGGAGTATTGAAGTATTCATTTAATTCATATTCAAATGGTTCCTTAATTTCCAACCCTTTTCCTGCTTTACATAATCAGCCTGATTGAGGAAGGTGGTGACTGGGACCGCCGCAACAGACTTAAGGTGTACCAAGGCCTTTATTGTGTCTCAATCCGTGACTTTAAGGGAGCGGCTAACTACTTCCTGGATACCGTGTCAACCTTCACCTCCTATGAGCTAATGGACTACAACACATTTGTCCGCTACACTGTTTATGTCAGCATGATTGCTCTTCCCAGGAACGAACTACGTGATAAGGTGACTTGCCCTCCATTTGTACCTTTCAGTCTTGTTTGAATCTCTGTACATTTTACAAGTAATTTCAACTTGTTTCCTTCCAGATCATCAAGGGATCTGAGATTTTGGAAGTACTCCACACTAATTCTGATTTGAAGAACTACCTGTTCTCTTTGTATGACTGTCACTACAGTGACTTCTTCAAGAACCTTGGTAGGTGGATCCAATTTGTGTTTTGTTTTTTTTTGTTCTTTTTTTTTGTGCCTTTTGAAAATTTCTTTATAACCTATGATGATTATTATTATTTTCAGCCATGGTAGAAGGTCTGCTCAGGAGAGACTACCTAGTTGCTCCACATTATCGGTACTATGTGCGGGAAATGCGAATTTTGGCATACACTCAGCTCCTTGAATCATATCGCAGTCTTACTCTGCAGTACATGGCAGAGGCATTTGGTGTGACCGTTGATTTCATTGACCAGTAAGTAAAGTTTTTTTGTGCCAAAGTCTGTTTTACCTTTCATTTCATTCTGCTTTTCTTACAATGACTTTAACACTTGTGTTTGCACCTGTTTACTTCTTTTAGGGAACTATCAAGATTTATTGCTGCTGGCCGTCTCCACTGTAAGGTGGACAAAGTTGGTGGTATTGTTGAAACCAATCGTTCAAGACGCACAGACTCAAAGCACTGGCAATATCAGGCAACAGTGAAGCAGGGAGATCTTCTTATAAACCGAGTTCAGAAGCTTTCTAGAGTAATTAATATTTAGTTAAGTCACCAAATTTATACTATTTCATTGTATGGTTTGTCAAAAGTGGTACCCTTTCTTCTTGTATTTATAGACTAATAAATAACTTTTCTAATCAATCTTTCTTTTTCTATCAATTTTTGCTCTTTTCCCAAATTTAAGTATTTGGCTCTGAACCAAATAGTACTGCTAAGTAAATAAATAAGCTGGACAATTTTTTATCACACTATTTGTGTATTCAGTGGAATGTTTTGAGTGATAGCTAAGCTTACATTAGAAGCAATTGGAAGTCCACTCTGGTCCACTCAGGGAAGTTGGTTACCAATGGTTTAGCCCCCCGCCCCCTAAGGTCATATGGCCATATGGTCAAATGACCGTACGCCCCCCCCCCTCCCCTCTTTCTTTTCCTTAGGGAGGGAAGTCCAAACACTGCAGTGTAGTAACGAGGTTGGAATCCCCTCCTCCCGCAACGTTTTAGTTTTGAAGGTAAACCGCATATCGAACGACTATGAGAGTCAGACTTTGTTCTTAAGTAATGCAAAACATTCCAAGTTACCCCTCATTGTGTTCGTCCGGTTGGTAGCACTTCGTCCCTTGGTGTTAGCAGCAACAACAACATAAACAACACCAACAATATCCGCCGCTTTGTTGTCACTTCCTTATGGAGATTCTTGCAGACTACGTCGAGGCGCGATATCTTTGACATCTGACACAGGTAGTCCCACCTTGCTACTTTATGTATAGCCAGGATTGAAACATTGGATTCGCACATTTCTCAAGTTAGTTCTGAGTTTCCCCTCTGTTGCCCACCCCCACGTGTGAATGCTCTGTTGGGCACACGCGGACGTAACACCCGGAGGGTTATTTCGTTGTTTTTCTTTTAGGGGATGAAATTTGTCCAAAACCTACCTCAACGGCTTGGCTTGCCACCCAGTTCATAAATAAAAATAATCTCACCGCTGACAATGGCACAGTCTAGGCCCGACATCGTCGTGAGGAACAAGGACGTAAGGAAGTACTTCAGTAACGTGGAGTGGAGGGAACTGTCAGATTATGAGAAGGAGCAGATTAGAAATGTCATGCGAAATTATCTTGTTATGACTTCAATTGGTAAGATTCTAGGAATTATTTCTCTTTAAATGAGATTATTTGGTTTGAGTAGAAACTATAATTCTTCATTAACTCTTATTCAGGATTCAAAGCACCATTACCATTCTTCGTTACTGATTTTGAAGCCAGACGGGATCAAACCTCTGTTGAGCAGAAACATTCTTCATCAGCTTCGTTAAAAGTTAAAGACTGTAACCCGAAGAATGAAGAGGCTACAACTCGAGGAAAAGGACATTCCTCAGAAGAAGCTACAACTAGGGGAAGAGGACGTCCCCCAAAGAATGCAGAGGCTCCAACTAGCGGAAAAGGACGGCCCCGACCCATAAAGAATGAAGAGGCTATGACTCAAGGAAAAGGACATTCCTCTAAGAAAGAAGAAGCTACAACTAGTAGAAGAGGACGTCCCCCAAAGAATAAAGAGGCTACAACTAGAGGAAGAGGACATCCCCCAAAGAATAAAGGTGTAATGAATATCAAGCAGGATCCCAAGAGAGCTTCTAAAATTGCTTCCAAGTCTCTTTCAAAGTCTGACTCCAAAACGCCTAAACCACCATCTGTGCCTTCTTCAAATCCAATGCCTTCTAAGGAAATTGGACCTACACGACAGCAGGTAGTGTATATACAGCATCGTGTTGGACTTAAATACCCTGCGAGAAATTTTATTTTTGTATCTTCCCCACAGCCTCCTCGCCTCAGTAAAACCGCTGGTGTAATTTTCATGAAGAAAAGCATCTTGGCTTCCATTAGGAAGTATACCTTTAAGCGTAAATGATTTCACTCTTGACTATGATATCTCTTTTCCTTGTATGGTTCCAGGAGTTTGTTTTCTTTTTTTAAATAATGAATCAGTATTTTTTTTTGTTTAAGATTTTATTGCTTTTGTCTTTGATGCAGTATAAACATGTCTTGAGTTTATTCTACTTGGCATAGGATAACAAGTATAATGAAAGATTTGGTTACTCACCAAAAAAAAAATCTCAAAGGCTTCTAAGATAGGTTTGTGAAAACAATGGAGTATTCTTAACTGACTGCCTTGAAGCCTTTGAGCATCCTTACAATACTGGGGGAGAAAAAAAACAATAAATAAAGCTCTTCTTAAATGAAAACTATCAGTACACAAATCACTCATCATTTAAGTGTAGTAATCTAAGAGTGTTATCTTTATCAATATATACATTTGTCAGAAAGCAATGAGTTCTACATTCTTGAAACTGAGAACATATGAATATAAAAGAAACATCTATTTATAAAATCAATTTAGTTTCTAATACATTCATACAGATGTTGAATTCTCAAGTTTCCCTGCATTAATTATTCTAGGCAACATTGAAAGATTGGTACACCAACAGAAATTTGGTATATGTATTTCTTGACAATTTTCCTTTTTTGTTGAGAAGATTACTATACATCACCCAATAAAGGGTTGGTATACAAGACATGTAGGTTAATTACATTATGCCACAGTTCACATACATAACTCATGTGAAGGTCCAATTGATGAAGAAACCTTGCATCACAGTAAAGACCATCAGCTATAGATGATCACCAGACTTTCAGACTTTAAGGTGACAAAATTAAATGCAGGAGTGACAAAATGTGCAATTACAAATTAAGACAAAGCATGAAATGAAATGAGATCATAAATAAAATGAATTTTAAGAGCAAGGAAAAAATTAATGTGATGGGACACAAAGAAATTAATAATGATTGATGACAACAAATATCTAAGGAACTATTCACAAGATAATAATTAATATGCAAACAAGCTCAATCTTTCAAATTTTGGAAAGTGCTCTGAAAGGTGGATCTTTCAAGCTTACAAGAACAAATTCTGCCCTGTCTGAGCTCAGAAAATTAGGGCAATGAGGAAGTTGAACCACAATGCTTTGCTTACACATACAGTAACTTAACATAAATAATTTAATACATTTACAAGTATCACATTGTTGTAATATTCATCATTCACCGCAACCTATCTCTCTTCAGTAGATATCCCTTTTCTACTTTATGCACAGAATGCTAATAACTTTTATCGTCAGTCTAGCAAAAGTAATTTAGTTGAAAATAACATATTTCCCAGCATGAGAGCTTTGGAATCAATATCATAAGACGCACAAACTTATCTTCTGATCAGAAGTTATTGACATTCTGTGTAATTGGATGATCAAGTATTTTGGGACTAGACGTTCAACACTCAAATTACGAGTGCTTCCATGCCCCTGCGTATCCAGAACAGATGACCCAACAATGAAACAATAAAGTCTACCACACAAAATACACATTGATGTGCTGCTGCACACAGGCTTAACATGTAACTGCGAGATATTATGTATTCATGCTGGCATCCACAAACCCACTCTAAAATGAGATTTGAATTGACCTGATAAAAATTGATTTAAACTAAATATTAATTGATGTGCTCAAGATGACAAGAAATGGCAATTATTCAATCACCACAGACAGCACAGTAAGCTGCAGAACAACTAGACACAGGAAAAGCAACTGTGCTTAACTACTTTTGAATATTTCACATAAAAGGATTGAAGTTAGATATATATTGACAACTTACAGAGAATCTAGCAAACAGCAATGTTCCATGAATCTACATAAAAGCATGAGTAATTCAAACAGCATAATGTTTGAAGTATCATGAACACTGAGCTAGACCTCCTGCACATCATTTCCAAAGAAATTTACAAAACGAGATGGACATTACCAGCACCTCACCAGCACCAATACTCTTGGCTGAGCCACATCATCGTTACGGCTGGGAAATGATTAACATTCCCCGCCCACTTGACAAATTTTAAATCCCATTTTCGTGCTCTGGACAGCAGTTGCCACCCCAATTCTCACTTTAATCAGCATCGTAGAACTGGAGGATGGCACGACCTTGGATTTCAGAATTGCAGAGCTTCTCCATCACCTTGCAAGCTTCTTCTGCTGGGAACACAGTGTGTGGTGGAGGTTCAATCTGAAAACACAAAAATAATTTTCTCTGTTAAATTTTGAAATTTACATATTTTTGGTGCAAGAATTTCAAAAAAGGATTTAAAACGTACCTCTCCATTTCCAACCAGTTTAACTAATTCTTGCAGCTGCTCAATGGTGCCCATATCAACAGCCTTAATACGTTGCTGGCGCTCATCAGCCAGGCGACTGAACTTGGGCATCAGCTTCTCTGCCACTTCAGAGCACATGAACACAACTCCTCCCTGCCAGAGCAGAAGAAAATTATATTAGAATTTGTGAATTAGTTAGTTTTGTCTTCCAGTAAAATTGTTGGAAAAAGAAAATTGCTTACCTTGCTCAGGCACTGAAGAGATCTGTGAAGACTCCTCGAGGTCGTTCCAAAGTCAATGACAATGTCAACCTCGCCATTGCAGGCATCTGTTGTGCGTTCAATGAGCTGGCGCTCATACAGATCCTCACTCCACTGAACAACATTGACACTGTAACAGAAGACCACATTCCTCAGTTCACAAAGCTGAACCCAGCCAGTTGTCGTCCAAAGTTTTTGGCCTTCCACAAGGCCCTCTGACTTACGTCTTGAATTCCTTGGCCATGAGGAAGCCCTCGTCCTTGAGGGAGGCCACGGTGAGCTGGACGCGCATCTTGGTGTCCTTGAAGTGGTGGGACGCGATGCGCATGGCCCAGAGGGCGAGGCCGCCGGTGCCCACGATGAGGATCTTGCAGACGCCGTCCTCGCCGCGCTGCCGCAGGATGTCCTCCACGTACTGGTGGGCGTTGAACACGGTGTTCATGGCGAGCAGGGCGCCTGTGGGCAGCATGGCGGCCACCGGCAGGGGCACCGAGTCGGGGATCTTGACGAGGTACTTGAGCTCGTGGACGATGATGAACTCGGCGTAGCTGCAAACAACAATGCCACGTTAAAACTGCTTTCTCGTCGTCCTGGCCTGAGAGGGAGGCTCTGTGGTCTGCCCGCTTACCCATGGGGCACGCCGTCGTAGGGGTAGAGCACCACGCGGTCGCCCTCCTGGATGGTGGCGTTGTCCTCCACCTCGGCGCCGAGGGACTCGACAATGCCAGCCACTTCATAGCCAGGGAACAGGGCGCCGTCGCGCACGCCGTGGTGGGCGGGGCTCTGCGGCATGCCGCCGAGGCAGGCGCCGCCGGGGAGGCCGCTGATGACGGAGCCGCCGAGGCCCAGGTCCTGGGACAGCTCGGTGCTCAGGCTGGACACGGAGCCCGTGCTGGACACGGAGGAGATGGACGGCGAGCGGCGGATGCGGTAGCAAGCACCGGCACACACCACCTGCAGGCACAAGGAAAAGTCCGTGTCAGACGCGTTGCCTGTTGCCCAACGAAAACCGACCTGGATGACGGTGATGCGTCAAAGTGGATGGACTACACAAGGAACTCGTCCAAGGAGAGCAAGCCTGACTCACGCCCCACGCACAGCGCACTGGCGCAGTGCTGACGTCACGGGGAGTTTCTCAGCGCTCGCGGCGTCTGGGTCGCCTACCCGAGGTTGCCTACCCGCCAGGCGCGCTGGCTCCAGGGTGGGGAAGTCCTGTGACTCCTCGAGTCGTCCGTTTCCGGTTCCGATCGAGGTCTGACGGACTGTCTTACGGTCCGCGCTCCAGTCCGGAGCCCGACAAACCGGCCGGGCCGAGCGGTTCCGTGCACGCCGTCTCTCTCGCTCTCACGGTGCAACGGTGCACGCCTTTCGGCCGCGAGAGAGACAGAAACGCGGTCGAGGGCGGTGTGGTCGGGCCTTGGCGGCGACAGGAGGGAGGGATCCTCCGAGGACGGAGACGAACAGAGAGCAAAGTGTTTTATTTCGGGGCCGCGCGATAACGCGAACGCGCCGCGTCCTGACTCGGCTTGGCGACGCGACGACGCGGCCGCGGGGGGCCCAGGTGGCGGACCCACGCACGACGCGGCCACGTGCACGGCACGTCCTCAAGGCGTGGAGCCACCGCGTGCTGCAGTACAGCCCGGTCGTTACAGCAGCCCGGCCCGGCCCGAGAAACCTGGACTTGGCCCGAGCCGTCGAGTCATCACGGTCGAGGGGCCGACGCCGTCCTCGCGGCGAGGCGAGGCTGCGAGGCGAGGCCCTGGAGCCTAGAGTCCTAGAATGTGCCAGCAGCCTGCCAGGCTCCCTGCCAGGGTGCGCTGCTGCGCGGAGCTTGCGGAGCTCGGCGTCAAGGCAAGGGCGGGAAGGGATGGCCGAAGGGAGGGGAGGGGGAGGGCACCGCGGTGGGCCGCGCATGCGCGCTCGCGTCCCTGTCCACGTGAACAGCGAGTGATCAGCTGGTATTGATCAACGGCAGCAGCGCTGTGTTCACGTGCACATCAGCTGATCGCGCTGCCTCTCTCTCGCTCGCGCTGCGGGGTGCTGGCGGCCCAGGACCGTCCTGCTCGCTCTCGGTGCGTGCTCCTGCTCTCGTCGGCGCGTCGGCGCCACGGCCGCAGCCCTTTGTTCGGAGAGGACGCGGCCGCTGGATCGCGCCGCCGCCGCCAGCGTCGGCGTTCCGGCCCCCAAGCGGCCCGGCGTACGGTCCTCGAAGTTTCCCCGGCGAGGCAGGCGGTGGGCGAGGCCCCCGGACCAGACCCAAAACTAAACCGCTGGCCGGTGCCGTTGTTTTTGTTGTTGGCGGCAATTTGGAAAGAGGCTAGGCCCTGTTCCCTCTGACGGACCGGTCCGCTCCACGTCACGTACACACGTCTGTCTCAAGGGACCCTCTCGACGTGAATCTAGAAAACGGCGTCCTGAGCTCACCCTGATGCGGGCGCCATTGGGCGGCACGTCGGGCACGGGCACCTCGAAGCTGAACACGCAGTCCTTGATGGTGGGCCCGGGGCTCTCGATGCTCACTTGGCGGCACAGCTTGTTCATGATTGGCGGCTTTCTGGGCGACACCGCTGGTTCACTGTAACAACAAGAGAGGCGGACTGTCAGTCAGGTCGTCCAACACCGGGGCGAATTCACAGTGGCGGAAAACAGGCCGGCCGCCCCCTCCCCCTCCCTTCACCAATGGCACCAGACGCGGTGGCGCCTAGCCGCCCTCCCCTCCCCCTTCCGGGCCGCGGCTGGCCGGCTGGCCCGCGGTCAGCTAGGCAGACACACACCTCTGTGGCAGCTGCGGAGCTGGGACGGTCCTAGAGTGCTTTACGGTCGCACCCGGGCAAAGATGTTGCTCAAAAGCGCGGGGAGGGGGAGAGCTTCGCAATGGAAGGGGTGGTTGCAACACTCGGCAAGCAGGCCGGGAAGAAAGAGCCGCCTGCCAGCAGCAGGGCCAGCAGAGCCAGCAGCAGACGATTATATTTCCCGAGGGGACAAAGGATTTTGGCAGCAGACGTCGGTATTCGAACCCTGGACGCGCAGCAGCAGCCCAAAAAATAGCATCAGGCTGCAGGCTGCTTGCGAGGAGTGCCACCGTCGCGGTTTCTCCCACACTGACTGAAGTGCAAGCGAGGCAGCGACGAAAGCTCGGTTCAGAATGAGGCCGGTCAATACAGAGTACTCGCACGCCTCGCGCCGCCTCCCGACCGGGCGAGTCCATTGGGGGTGACGAAAGCGCAAAGTTTGGACAAGATGACCGGTATTTCGAGACAATGACGGACTAGGCGGCCTGGGCTGGCGGCACACTGTGGCGGCACGCGCACGCTGCATGCCACACCGTGCTGATCCCATTGGCGAGGCCTGCCAAAAAGTGTGCTGGCACTGCTGGCACCCCTGCCGGCCTCGGCACCTGTTCCCGGGCTGGGCTGTGTCCGAGACTGGGTCCCAGACGCCGCCCCCGCGGTCCCCGCGGCCACCAGGACGCCGACGAGTGCGTCGTCGACGCGGACGCCGCCCCGGCCCCCGGCATCCGCGGCGCGCGGCCTCTGACACCGACCCTGACACCTCGGCGTCGTGGTGGTCGCGGTGCCGCCCCCGCGGTATGAGGCTCTGCCAGCGACACGCGTGGCGGCGGTACAGGCCGAAGATCGCAGATCGAACCGAGGCCTGCTTGCAAATGAACAGCCTCACCTTGGGGAACTGTCGCGTTCTACTTCCGGGCACTTCCGGGTGATAGCTAGGCCTAACGAGTGTGTCCAGCCGGACCGAGTGGACCTCCGCGCGCCTCCGGGTGGGTTCCGGCAAGCTTGCCAACGTCCACGCGGCCACGCAGACACCGTTCTGGATTTAAAAGTCCCTTTCTTTTTCTAAAGCGGCCTGCAGCTGACGCGAAGCCGCAGCGAAGCTAAAGCGACGCCAGGCGAGCCGCGCCTTCTCCGCGCTGCGTCGCGAGAAACCCGGCAACGCCGCCGCGGATGTCCTGGCTGGCTGGCCGCGCTGCCCGGCTCTCGGTCTGGGCGGCGTTCTGGAACGCCGTTCACAACAACAAGGCCTTCCCCAGGGATACCTGCACTTGGAAGGGGCGGCGTCGGTCGGCGGACAGGCCGGGCAGTGCTGGGAGAGCGTGGACGGCCTCGGGGCGCAACGACATTCGTCCCGACGCGACAACGGTCTTGTGCGGGTGCGGGACGCGGCCGGACTGACGCCTTGAGAGAGCCAAGGATGCGCGCAGGCCTGGCCGGGCGCCGCGGACCACCCCTGGCACCCCTCGTCCTTCCGGCATCCACGGCCGCAGCGTGCGAATAAGACCCCACGCACTTGTTTACACACATATCGACCCGACGGCGGCTGCGTCCGGGAGGGCGGCGCGTGCTGCGCCAGGCCGTGCAGGCCCGCGGCGTGGCCCTTCGCCCTGCCGCACTGCAGAGGGACTTCCGCCCTCCCGGAAGCAGCCCCGGGGAAGGACTGGACCGACAACGCGGCGCCCAAATTCAAACCGGCAACGCCACGCGCCACGCGCACAGTGGGCCAGAAGCGGGTGGAGGCGGCCAAAACTCTAGACGCGTTTTGAGCTCCAGAGCCGCTCTATAGGACTCGAACCGAACGTGTGACCCCACCAATGGATTGCTCTGCGAACGAGGAATCCATTGGTGGGGTCACACGTTCGGTTCGAGTCCCATTTAGCGACGCTGGAGCTCAAAACGCGTCTAGAGTTTTGGCCGCCTCCACCGGCTTCTGGCCCACCTGTGACGCGTCGCGGCGGAGAAAGCGAGTCGTGGGACGAGGCCTCACCTGAAGCGGTGCTTGTGCAGGTTGTAGGGCGCAGGGGCGTCGATTTCGACAGGCATGGTGGCAAGGCGAGCTCGGATATCCGTACAGGGGCGAAGCGAATCTCACTCAAGGGCGACCGACGGGGTCACAAGATGCGCACCAAGTCACACGAAGACACAGAGCGACACGAGTTCAAAGTGACTGGATCGTCAGTGCACTGCAGGGGCACAACTTTCTTCCGGCTGGGCGACTGATGCAGTCTCACAGGACAGGCACATGCTAGTGGAACTCTGGCTCACGGGGCAATGCTGGCCAGCCGAGACTCGGTGCTCTTATAGCGGCTCCCGCTCCCCTCCCCGCGCTCCGCCCCGCACTGCGGCCGCGCTGGTGGGGGCAGGCCGGGGGCGTGGGGCGGGCAGGGCGGGGCAGTTGTTTACCACGCCGACGCCGAGCCCGACCGCTGCGAGGCCCGACGCCGACGCACCGACGCCGGCCGCGCGACGCGACGCGACGCCGGCACGCCGTGGCGATAGCCAGACCGGCGCACAGTGGGCCAGAGGACTGGTGGAGGCGGCCAAAACTCTAGACGCGGTTTGAGCTCCAGAGTCGCTAAACAGGCCTCGAACTGAACGTGTGACCCCACCAATAGATTCCTCGTTCGGAGAGCTATCCATTGGTGGGGTCACACGCTCGGTTCGAGTCCCATTTAGCGACTCTGGAGCTCAAAACGCGTCTAGAGATTTGGCCGCCTCCACCGGTCTTCTGGCCCACTGTGCGGCGTGTGGTCCACGGAGCAGCCAGCCTGCCATCCCGGACCTCGCCTCGTCGCTCTGTCTCTCTCGCACCCGCACGGCACGCCCGACAGGTTAGACAGAGACAGCGGCGGAATCGTGCGGCAGCCCGGCGGGAACGCGAAAGCCAAGTCGTCGAAGGGAAGAAACCGGGATGGTGGGAAGGCCGCGCTGGACTGGGATAAGGGCTGGCTGGCGGCTGAAGGGAAGGTCCCCGGGGTTGCGCTGTGCGCTGTTGCGCAAACTGGCGACACCACACGAGGGCGGGCGATACAGAAGGGCTGGTCTGGGCCGGCCTCATTTCAACCCACTGAACCCATGACACAAGGAGCCACCGTTTAGCGACGGACCTGCAACCACCGCCACTAGTCCCACCCACCCCTGCGAATTGCGCATTGCAGCTCGGTGCACCGCCTGCACCGCCTGCGCGGCACGCTGGGTGACGCAGTGGCGACGCAGCGCGAACGGGGATGGGCCCACAGTGAGTCACCTGACTTGCAAAGCCACTTCGCGTGCGGGCGGGCCGGGCCGAAGCCGGGCCACGCGCTCTAGAAAGCCCTGAAAGGTAAACACCATGCAGCCCCTCCGATTTGTTGACATGTGCCATCGCCTTTTTTTCCGGCCAGTGTACAATGTTTCTCGGGATCGCGTAAGTTATTGTCCCCGGTGTTTGTTTTCAAGTGGCGCGGAAATGAGGCAGATAGTATTCCGATGGAGCTCGGCGAGCGTGCACTGCCATAACGCTGCGCGGCCAGGACGTTGACATGACGTCGGCGTTGACCACCGGGCCGTGCATTGGCCGTGCATCGAGGCCTATCGAGCAAAGACCCAGACTAATGGCGACGCGCTTCGAGCACCTGGAGTGCGTGGAGCAGGCGGAGCAGGCGGCGATAGGGACTCATGCACCGCGCGGCCCACAGTGGGCCAGAAGACCGGCGGAGGCGGACAAAACTCCAGACGCGTTTTGAGCTCCAGAGTCGCTAAATAGGACTCGAACCGAACGTGTGACCCCACCAGTGGATTGCTCTCCGAACGAGGAATCCATTGGTGGGGTCACACGTTCGGTTGGAGCCCTGTTTAGCGACTTTGCAGCTCAAAACACGTCTAGGGTCTTGGCCGCCTCCACCGGTCTTCTGGCCCACTGTGCGGCCTTTTCCACGGCACGACTGTCCCATTCAAGTACCGGCCGGCTCGCGTTGGTCACGCCGCACTGCCGAACGCGCTGCGCCGCCGTTCCACAAACTTGTTTATTGTTTATGTCTTTGCCATGAGTCGCTGTCCCCCCACTCGCGAGCGGCCCGGCCGATTAGCAAAGCAAATTAAGCCGAACCCTAAAGCGAAAATCGAGGTTTGAACCCGCGGACGGGTTCGACAGCGGATTTTTCGGCGGGTTGGCGGCCCTTGGCCTTCGGCCCGCGGCGCGTGGCGTCCATTTCGTTTCGCGCCCGGCTTTGCTCTGCTTTGCTGGTCCACTGGTTCACCCCCGCGGTCCGCAACCGCCGCGTGAATCAGAAGACTCTTGGCGTCGCTCTGTCTTCGTCGCACTCCCGGCGCGTCGCGTGGGCGTGCGAGAGAGACAGAGCGACGACACGGCCCTTCGGGCATCAGTCGTCAGGCTGTGTTTACCGTCGCAGCCGGCACCGGCGCCGCTCGTATAGTTTTCGCGCGGGCACCGCGAAAACACGGGTTTTATTTCTCAGGAAGCTGAAAGCGCCGGCCGGTCTGAAAGGTCTGAAAGTAAAGAGGTGTCTGGCGACTTGGCACGACGCGGCGCCGTTTCGCCATAGCGCCGCGCCCGCCGCCTCCAAGCACCTCGTCAAGATGCAGCGTGCCACTATTTTAGACCGCGATGCGCCGCGCGCGCAGAGACGCGGGCGGTGCCGCGCCGAAAACGGCGGGCCGGGCCGGGAGCACGTCCACGGCGGGCCGGGCCGGGGGCACGTCCACGGCGGCCACGGCGTCCGCGTGTAGCACAACAAGGCCGCCGTCGTGGCGGTGGACGCGGACTTTGCCTACCTCGGCATAATAACAGGAAGCACGTCGGCGACGCAGGGAAACGGGCGAACTCGAGACTCGTCCACCCCGACCTGACCGCGGACTTGCACTGGCCTGGCCAGCCGAGCCGCGGCGCCGCGGCCAGCATCAGGAGTACGCGACCGTGGCACCCCGGCGAGGCGGGGCAGGGCAGGGCAGGGACGCCGACATCGCGCCGGGGGCAAAAATACTCACGGCCCCCGCCCTGCCCTGGGCCGCCACTGCATCGCGGCCAGAGCGTGGAAATTTGCACGACAAAGCACCCCGTTGCCCCGCTGGCGGCACTGGCCGGGAGTAAGGTGTTTACCTGCAGCGCGGCGCCAGGCGAGGCCTGGCACAGTGGGCCAGAAGACCGGTGGAGGCGGCCTAAGTCCCGGACGCGTTTTGAGCTCTAGAGTCGCTAAATGGGACTCGAACCGAATGTGCGACCCCATCAATGGTGCTCTTCGAACGAGGAATCCATTGGTGGGGTCACACGTTCGGTTCGACTCCCATTTAGCGACTCTGGAGCTCAAAACGCGTCTGGAGTTTTGGCCGCTTCCACCGATCTTCTGGCCCACTGTGACAGGCTAGGCACACTTCAAAAACGGCCTGCGGCCCCTGCCTCGGCGCCGGGTAGGCAGCCCCGCATGCCGGAGACTCGCTCTGTCTCTCTCGCACCCATGGTCGTAGCGCAGTGGCGCGAGAGAGACGGAGCGATTCTTCTGAATGAGGCCGACGAGTCGTTTCCGATTGGAAAGCAAATCGGGGCTGCCCTTGTTTGCGACACCCCCATTCTGGAACGGCATGCCGCTGCAGCGGGTGGCGGCCTATCTCTTTTATTTTTCATCCACTCGACACCGAACGATAGGGAGATAAAGCCTCGACACGTGAGAAGTGCGCGCGAGGCTGCGCAGCGGCGTGAGAAGGAAGAGAAATTTAGCAGCGGATAAAAAACCAGCAGCGCGTTATCTGTTATTGTCACCTGTCCGTCGGCCTGTCCGTCCGCCCGTTCGTCCGCGGGGCCTCGCAGTGTGTGTTCATGCAGTGTAGTGTACAGCACACCGGTAGTTTCACCCGCTTCGCCTGCCTCCCGAAGGGCGGTCGGCAGCCGCAATCGTTACTCATCGTGAAACGTCTATCACGGGGAATTGTCAGATGTCAGGGAAGCTAGTCGTCTCGCGGGCACGCGAGTTTATAAATAGCGAGCAAAAAATTAGGGTAATTGTTTTTCGGGGTCAGCCGGAGGTCGTATGCATAGCACAGCCCCTCTCTGAACATCGGACAGCGGTGTGGCCCGGACTCGGAGGTCGTGGGTTCGCCTCCCGTCGTCGTCGGCATCCTTCACTCGTACGTCCCTTCGCAAACTAGAGCATATTTGAGACGAGGAAGTGGGTCAGGCAGTTCGCGCGAACGCGGGTTCTTTCAGTGCGCTCTGCAGTACAGTCCTAGAGTAGAGTCCACTGTAGGACTGCCTTAAGCTGGGAACGCCGCGTGCGTAGGCAACCACGCGGCACCGGTGAGTGCGGGTGGCCTACTCCGACTTGCTAAGGGGCTTGGTCATGTACTTGACCAAGACAGGACCTTTCCGGATGCATGTTTCCGTCTCTCCGGCGGTGGCGGCGGTTCGTCGCGAGATGTCCACTCGGCCCGGCCACGGCGGCTCGTGCCAGCGGCCATCACGCCCGTGACACGCGGCCGGCACGCGGCCAGCGCTCCGTCTCTCTCGCACCCACGGGTGGGCCGCAGCCCCGCATGGGTGCGAGAGAGAGAGAGAGAGAGAGAGAGAGAGAGAGAGAGAGAGAGAGAGAGAGAGAGAGAGAGAGAGAGAGAGAGAGAGAGACGCGACGCCGTGGCGGAGCAGCACGTCCGCGTCGATAACGCGCGACCGGATCATCTCGCCCCGCCGGAAGAAGCGGCCACAGTCACGAATCCGCGATTCGACTCCCGCCGACGGCCGAAAAGTTTCCACCGAGTAACTAGTAACTAAGAAACGCGCCGCGCGTCCCAAGATGCACTCAAGGTGGACTGTGGAGTCTGCACTGCAGGGGCAGGTGTCCGTTCGAGTGCTTTCTGTAAGTGTGTTCAAGTCATGGCGACGGGCCGACTCGGGCTCCTGCAGACTGAGAGTCATTTTCGTCGCTGTGTCTCTCTCGCACCCACACGGGGCGCCCCATGAGTGCGAGAGAGAACCGCCTCTCAGTCATCAGCTGTGTGCTGGGCAGTGCGACGTGAGTGCCACCGAGCCTCGCCGGCGTGTCGGGCAAACGCCGTCGCCGCTTGTTTACCAGGACGGTGTGCTGGACGCGGGCCGGGCCGCCTCACAGTGGGCCAGAAGACCGGCGGAGGCGGACAAAACTCTAGACGCGTTTTGAGCTCCAAAGTCGCTAAATGGGACTCGAACCGAACGTGTGACCCCACCAATGGATTGCTCTCCGAACGAGGAATCCATCGGTGGGGTCACACGTTCGGTTCGAGTCCTGTTTAGCGACTCTGGAGCTCAAAACGCGTGTAGAGTTTT